AAACAGCATTGGCTTAGTAGCATTCTTCCAATAAGCCATAATACACCCAATCAATTCATAATGAAGGAAACCATATTGCTACATCTACACCCTATGTACACACTACTCTATGTCCCCAACACCTGAGTCACAATTTTGAGCAGCTATGTCCCCAGTGCCTGAGTTCCCATGTCTTGTCTTGCAATAGCATTGCCATGTCTACTCTACACTAAGTACACACTAAATTCGGGATATACTACTCTCTTCTATTTGTTCTCCCAATAAAATCTGATGAGTAAGGGTAGACAGCAAACATGGTCACAATCCTCAGACTGCTACTCTTACAATAACATTCTCCAATGAAAACTGCGTCTCCTATTTACTAATTACTCTATGTACACACTACTCTATGTCCCCAATGCCCGAGTCACAAAGTCATTACTTGTAACAATAAATCCATATCACTAATTCTACTCTACCCTATGTACACACTACTCTATGTTCCCAATGCCCAAGTTATAAAGTCATTACCTGGTTGAGTAGTAGCTGTTATGAGGGCTCGTTGAAGTTCTTCAACCTGCTTCAAATGCTCCTCCTTCCTATCCTCCAGGCTCTTCTGCCATTCCTCTAGCCGAGTCTTCTCCACTTTCCACTCGCCTCGTTCTGCCGCGGTTCCTTCTCCCCTCCGCAGCTTCCTCTTAAGCTCTGCCAACCACTGTCCGTCCTCCCCCTCGTTAAACGTCTTCAGCTCAGCCTTCGCCTCGTCGAGCTTCTTCTCCGCCTTTGCCAACTCTTGTTCGATTCTTGCAACGTTCGCCATTTCTTTTTTTTTCTTTAGTTAGAAAGAGATCTAATACAGTAATATACTAATACTAACACTAATACTGACGCTGATTAGGGGCTTAATCAATGACGTAAGTATTACGACATAGATTTTCAGAGTGACCAATGATAATTGATGCGCAGAAACACGCTTTCACATCATCACAAGATTTTATTATTATTATAGAAGCATAAGTCGTTCGATCAGCGGAGACCTTTTACATTAGACTGCTTCCCTTTACCTTCTTCAAGTTTTCGTTTCTTTCTTGGTTTATCATAAGTTGAGGTTGATGTTCGTTTATTGTTTATTATTTTTCGTTCTTCTTGATAGATTTCGTAAGTAATTTTTCTTGATCTAGATATTCTGGGTATCATTGATTTTAAAAACATATGGAGCAATTTTTTCTCCTTGCTCTTTTTTTAGAATGCTTCTAATAGTGCTGTAATTCTTTGTTCCATGGTGGATAATTGGTTTCATATATTATTATTATTATATAGATGTAGGCCTATATTAATCGCGTTATGGTTTATATTTGTTGTATATAATTTGTGTCGCTATATAAATCCCGGATTTAGATATATAACACACTATAATCTTTTTCGCTGTAACGCGTGATCATCCATTTCTAGTATAATCTGTTCATTCTTACTCCTTCGGGTTACCGATTTTGCAGATCTTATACTTTTACTAAACTGCACTAACCAAGTGGATATCCATTTTAGGAAATTCGTACAGCAATTTTTAGCGCAGTTTTATATCACTATATATCATGATTCACGATTCACGATTCGTGATTGCCGCTCGAACTCTTTCTCCCTCAAAAGTCGGTGCTTATTTATTAGTTTTCCCTTATCACATGACATTAGCTTTTCACGCCTTATATTAGATTATAAAAAAACATTCTAACTTATGAAATGCTTGATAAAAAGTTGTCACTCAGAGGGAACAACCGTTGTTGGAGACTATCCGCAATGAATGTTTAATGTTCTCCACTCTATTAGCACTCAAAAACTATTTTCGCTTTTTTACACTTGAATACTTTCGACAAAAGCTGTCATTCAGAGAAAATATCTCCTATCCAAAGAACATCTCCTATCCAAATACGCTTTTTGCTAGTGTGGACTATCCGCAATGCTCAGTGTTCTCTACTTTATTACTGCTCAACAAACTATTTTCGATTTAGCATTTCGATGACGGTTCCGCAGTTGTGACAAATTCTTTGTGGCGTTGCGAAATTTCTGACCCTTTTCTTGTTGCACTAACTAATTCGGAAACAGGCGTCCCCAAAAATTCTTATGCATATTACATGATGATTTGATCATGTTTAACCTTATTCGAATTAGTAATAAGTAAAATCTTTTTTCAGATTGCCCCCCCCCCCCACTTTTTGCGTATGACAAATCTTATGTTTCACATACATTTTTAAAACCTTAATCGATTAGTATAAATTTTGCCATGTAATTTTGCCCTTGTATGCGTCATAAGAAACTCAATTAGTATTTCACAAATTTGTCATTATCTATCTCGTTCATAACACTAGTGTACTGTCATTAGTCTTTCAGTACAGTACAAGTTGCATATTCATATAACGGATTATGGCGTGTTGGCCTGCAGTTTCTTGTAACATGACAAGTGTTAAACGTTTTTCATAGATTCTCAAACAGGGTATTAATGATGTAGGTAATAGGCACAGAAACCTTGAGATAGTATGTTTGTATGTTAATTTCACTCATGTTGTTTTGAAGTCAGTATAAGAAAGGAGTTAGTGTTATGTTGACTCAATCAAATAGCAATAAATGTCAATGCGCGATTATTAATATTAGGCAATTAATGCTTAGAAAGCCAAATTATCTTGTGGTATTATTTTCTTGGTTTTTTTTGAGATTGCCAAAATATCTCAACATAACTTTGACCGAAGTTCTGTGATCTAATTTGACGATTTACCAAATATGGTTTTGGTTACATTTTATTCGGCCAAATTTCGTAATCCAACTTACTACAGTCACCCGTCTATTTGCATACTGTTGGGACCGATAGATTTTTACGCAATTAGACAGAATATGCAAATACACGTTATCACATGATCGTTGATACCAATCACATGATCAGATTACTCAAAAATTTTTTATGCACTCGTAAAATATGTTATCGCTATCATTTTACAATGAAAGAAGCAATAACTTTCGAGATAGAGATATTACCGCCTTAAGGTATTAATATTCCAACTTTAACGTTAAATATTTCATTATTATATTATTGTTATTGCCATTATTATTTAGATACAGAAACCCTATGAGAACGGAAGATTTGTTGAAGAACATGAAATAGAACTTGGATGAGGAAACAATAATTCAATTAATCCAAGAAGGGAGAAGATAATGAGGAAAATGAGGAGGGAAATGAATTGCCAGTTGTTTCTGCTAAGTGTTAGATATTTTTGTTGCAACAGTTTCAGATGAGATTAGGAAGTTAAGCAATAATTTATTCTGAGTCTCTGACATTAGTAATTTTTTACGCCACAATATAATAAAATTTAAATCGATCTAATTGATCTCTCCTTTTATGGTATGCAATATGCAAATATACGTTGGTGGGACCTACTAGAGTTAGGGCCACTTTTGATGCATATATGCACGTTTACGTTATGCAAATAGCTAATAGGTTCCACTAAGGGACCGGGCTCCGTTATGCAAATGAACAGATTATGCAAAAATACGTTATGCAAATAGACAAGTGCGACTGTATTTTACCAATTAAGAAAGTACATGCAACTACCATAAAATGAATAAGACGCGTTCACTTTGTTGTTTTTTCCGAAGTGGCCATAACAAATCGGTATTCCGACCTGAACATTTCCACATTTTTTTGTGCCATGGCTAGGGTCGTAATAATTACGTCATTGATTAAGCCACTGGCATACTATGGTACAGCACATCTTTCTATCATAGCAAATGAACAAGTGGGAGAAATGACATCCAACATGAGCATCTTAGAGCAAGCATACACCGATGCGAAGGAGGAGTACGACAAGGTGACGAAGAAGCTGGACAGGCTGGACGACCTGAGAAGAGGAAACATACAGGAAGACTGGGAGGGTGAGAGAGCAGAGCTGGAAAAGAAGCGTAATGAGCTGAAGGAAAGAAGAAATAAATGGGAGGCGAAGCTCCAGGAGTGGGGAGACAAACTACTTGCAACTGCTCAACCAGGTAACGGCTTTGTGACTTGGGCGTTGGGGACATAGAGTAGTGTGTACATAGAGTAGTTAGTAAATAGGAGATGCAGTAATACAGTTTTCATTGGAGAATGTTATTGTAAGAGTAGCAGTCTGAGGATTGCGACCATGGGAGCTATTGTTTGCTGCTGTCTACCCTTACCCATCAAATTTTTATTGGGAGAACAAATAGAAAAGAGTAGTATATCCCAAATTTAGTGTGTACTTAAGGTAGAATAGACATGGCAATGCTACAAGACATGGGGACTTGGGCACTGGGGACACAGAATATGAATTATTGGGGTTGATTTCATTTGTAATGCTCATATTGTGTATTCCACATTATCTCTTATCTCTATTAATCTTCTACTGTCTCTTCTTTATTCCCCATCCAACCATCCATCATCCCATCTGTGTCTCACTTGCAAACAATCATTAGTAGCTGCTCAAGGTATTGTGACTCAGGTGTTGGGGACATAGAGTAGTGTGTACATAGGGTGTAGATGTAGCAATATGGTTTCTTTCATTATGAATTGATTGGGTGTATTATGGCTTATCAGAAGAATGCTACCAAGCCAATGCATAGAATGTGCAAGTTATTTCCTATCTATTGACTGTTTGAGGGAACATTTGGTATCTTGTTTGCAGTATAGGCTAGAGTTGTAATAATTAGACAATGCAAGTGAATGCAACTTATCTTTTTATTTATATATATTACTATACATATGAACTGACTTATGCAAAATTATTTTTCTCCATGTAGTAAATACTTCAAAGGTGAATACTGGAAATGTATACATTTTTGTTGATAACTCCAATCTATACATTGAGGCGAAATATTGTGTTGGCCAACTTGAAAAGATTTATGACCAAGTTAAAAAATTTAATGAAACTACTAAAGTTGAAGAATGGCATCAAGTTTACTATATGAAAAGTCTTCAGATAGATTATGGATGCCTTCTTACAACTATTCTGAGTGGACGCAGTATGGGTAGCAGTCCAATTATTGTGGGTTCTTGCCCACCACCAGATGATACACTGTGGAACAAAATCAAAGGCCTTGGATATGAAGTAACCATGTATGATTGGAACAATAAAAACAAAGAAAAACGGGTTGATATGAAGCTTGGAATCTCTATGGTGGTCGAAACTCTCTTTAAGGCCAAAGATCCTGGCATATTGGTGCTAGTAGCTGGTGATGGGGATTATGAACCTGCATTAGAGGAAATATTGAAAGCAGGGTGGAAAGTTGAGATACGATTCTGGGCTTCTGGTATGAAATATTATTGTAATCATAAGTTGTTAACAGTTAAAGTGGTGTACTTGAAATAATTTCAATTTTTTAGGAACATCTTGTCACCTTAAAACCCCAGATATTGCTCATAAAAATAAAGAATTAAAAATAGTATACAAACCTCTGGACCATGAATACCAGAATTTTACATACTGCATCGGACCTGATCTCACCAAGAAAAAGAGTATTTTTCAAATTGAACATGATATGAATCACACCTGGAGAAATGAAGAAATAATGAAATGTTATACAGAATTGCAATTGTTCTGTTGGTGGTACAAGAAAGAAGATGGAACACTGGAGTTATATTTCAATAGTAAAGCACAGTTGGAGAGGGCAAGTCGTTGGATGAAAAAAAACTTTCCAGATGTAAATACAAGGTAAGTAATGATATTTGGATTATATTCATAAAAAATTTTTAAAATTGTGCTTCAGCAAAAAATGTAATAAGTAAATAAGATTTGATGCATTGCCAATTCATTTTAAAAACTCTCATTCACAAATGTCAATCATGGTTTGATTACATAGACTACAATGTAAAACACTATTCTGCCTTTGAAATTTTATTTATTTTGATATTGTCCATTTCCTTTTTAGATGTGCTTGATGTCAAAGATCTGAAAAGTACATCATTTATCACAATTCAATAAATAGGTAGGTGGCCAAAAGTATAGTCATTATACATTAATGATTACTTGACATTTTTTCTAGGTAGGATAGCCCAAACTATATATAGCTGTTAATGATTATTGCAATGGTACTTCATCTTTATCCATTATTGGTATGAAAGTTAGCCTTTATTATTATCTCTGGGACAAAAACTTATATTTCTAAGATTTAAAGACAATTAAGAAAATTTGAGGGGGTAGGTCATTTACAGATAAAAGTGAGAAATAATAATAATAATAATAAAAATAAATGGAAGACAATTATCCAGACTTGTCATGTATATTAGAAAGTCTAATTGGATTTTAATTCACATCATAAGTGCATTTTGTTTCTTCAGGAGATTGCTCTCTTTTATGCAAGGTGCCAATCTTATTAGCAAAGCCGGAGCTGCACATTATTATCCCGACCAATTAGATCGTTTGCTCGGATTGATTTTTTTTTAGCTATGAGAATAACGACGCAAATGCAAACCCGTCGTCACTTGACCAAATAACAATTTTTTTAATTATCACCACAGGCTAACTCTGCAAGTTATCTCTGTAGCAAACAAACCCTGCAATGATGATGTTGAGTGGGTGTAACCTAATGAGAGTATAACCTAATGGCTAAATCGAGCTAAATCAATGTCTAAATAATAGCTAAATCAATGTCTAAATAATGGCTAAATCCACTAAACCAGCTGAGTGGGTATAACTTAAAGTAAGTGGGTTTAATATAATTATATTATAAGTGACTTTATTGTGGTTATTAATGATAATCTTCCCTTCATAACAACAGTGGAGCCTTACCATAATATTGTGATTGGTCAGAATTTTTCCCAAGAGCAACAACAACCCACTTTCTGACAACCTCCATAATAAACTGTTTTAGCCCATGCTTAATTTCTTCACAATTATTCAGTTTGTATATGTTTACTGCAAGTGAAGAATCTTCTTCCACATGGCCTTGCTGATAAGTCTTTGTGAACCAACCTGTATTACAAGATAAGTGAACAATCATATGTAAATATATAGACAAATATTGTCAAAAATATTAATTAAGGTACATTTTACTGACCCGTATTTTTCCTATATTAGTATTCCATTGCGGTTCTCCGGAATAGTTGGTTGATCTGGTAACGGAGATTGTCCATTACATAAGCGATTTTTTCGCTATCCTTGTCACCTCGGGTTACCAAGAGTTATTTCTATTATTTGTGCAGCCAGTTATCTCAACATCCTCGTTGTTGTTTCGGGTTATATCACCTATTTCCTTTGCTAAAGTTGCGATATAGGCAAACACGTCTATCTGTGTTTTGTTTTTTACAGGTAATTTTATATAATACCGTTATATAAATCGTCGTTGGCGGTGGCGGTGTTGCGGTTGACGGGGAGGGGGGTAGCAGTTGGAGATAATGGGGGTTGTTGAGGGTGCTGTTGTTCTTCATATAATTCGGCTGTGTATATTGCGTGTTTGCAAGCGTAAAGCGCGCGATTCTTTGTATATATGGGTCGTTGATACCCTTAGGGATTGCATTTTATAACTTAATGTTGATCCGTCGAATTCAAACTGAATATGCACTAGTCACATTATGGTTCAAACCGCGAGTTCTTCTTCTTCATACATCCAGAAACCAGTCGTGCTTTCAATTCACAGATCAAGTTCGCCAGACGTGATATCAATGGTCGCTCAGCAATCCACATAGCCACTTCAAATTCGTCTTGACATGATTTTAGTTTAGTGGGGGCTATTTGGAAATTAAATGTTTTGTATAGTTGTTATTATTATGCCTGTTTATGTTATTTCAGAAAAAGCTGGGACTGTGTTGAGCAATAACATCAATGTGTTGGTTGCAATACTGATTTGATTGAACCTTGTTTTAATTCAAATTTTAGGCAAGATTACTAAAATATTATCTGTGATAGTTGCATTACAGACAAGTAAAATTGTAAGCTGTTCCTTTAGCCTTTAACAGTATCACTTTTGGAAGCCAATGTTTTGTCTGGCCCAAGCTGGAAAAAGAGACCCATTTCAGCAGCATTGTAAATGTCCCCAAGTGGATAACACTTGTACTTGTTGTCTACCATTTTCTACTACTGATATATTGACTGATGAACTTTCTCCTGATATTGTTTTTCAAACCATTCTTGAAATCTCTTCAACCAACCATTTGCTACTTCAAATTTTGCAGGTAAGTCCACTCCAGCATTAATAATCTGTTGGTAATACTCTTGTGCTTTATAACAGGAATATTGTTGCCAATGTACCATGAAAAACCATCCATAAAGAGCTTTTTCAATAATATCAAATTGACTTTGCTGTATCATTTGCTCAAGACTGATTATAAGCATTGAGAATTTCTGCTTATTGTTATCCATATCCTCAAATGATATACTATTACTAGTACTAATAGTTGAACAATCAGGATTGTAACTTTTGCCAATTCTGTATTTTATCTTGATCTCAAGAGTTTATCTTTACATTTCAAAGTTCTAAGGAAGACATCTT